TGGCATGCATTTTCTGTGGTTGATGCCAGGGTAACACAATCCAGGAAGCTGAGGCTTCCAAGACATCTCCCCTGGATCGAATTTCACGCAACTTTTCCCAGACTACGGCCTGAAAAATGCTAGCATGTGCTCTACACTGCGCTAATGCTACACGCGTCCTCCCCGATGATGGGGGTCGAAATATGAATTCAAATGCTGACTTCCTGCCCAAGGGTTTGTTCTTCGCAGCTTTCCCTTAAGATTCCAATGCCAGCGGGTGAGCAATCTTGACTGGCACTCACAAAGCCCAGTCTTGGGATTTCTTCATTTGCGCTTCCATCATGGCGTGGAAACACACATCTTATCACGTCGGAGGCAACTGCCACACATTTCAAGAACATACGGAGGCAACTGTCACGTATTTCCTGCCTGTTACATGTCCAACCAGAATGCGAACGCACGCATGCCCAAGCCCTGAAGCCCTAAAATTTCCCCAAGCAAATTTTGACCCGTTGTTCCATGTCTGTGGTACAAGGATTTGCAAATTGCAGTACGAACAGTGTTGCTGATGACCTGATTTAGATCTCTTCATACCATACTCTGTAGGCTGTTTTCAAAACCCAGCCTAGTCCTGCTCTTTGTGTAGGAAAAGGCTGCAATATGGAGGGCTTCTGATTGACAGAGAGCGGCTGTAGGCTGCAGTGCTTGCCTCCATGGCTGATGTTTCATCAAAATGCGCGTATCTTATTTCAGATTTTGGGGGTAGAGTCTTTGTTTGGCGCCAACTCGGTTGGAGTTGAGTAGGACTAGGTCGCTTTAAACTCCGGCAGATCCGCACGTGCTCGCAGAAGCGTGATGACCTAGAACTTCGAACCCTTATTATCTTGTTTTGTTCTTTTCGGACAGAGAGTCTTGCCTTGGCTTTAATCAATGTGAAATCCGGGCCTTCCCATGGCCAAAGGTTCTTTAGCTTTCAGTGGGAAATCCTCATTATATTGAACTAAGGCAGTGGAATTGGTGACGTCAATTCAGGCTCTGGAAACCAGCATCATTGGCAGCAGCTGCAGAGACAAAGGGTACTCATAAGCAGAAAGATGACCACTGAAAATCGGTCGATCTTGAAAACGTGCAGTCACACTCACACCTGCAAGAACCACAGTCTTAATCAAGTCCATTCTGCGAGCATATCAAGGCGAGTCTTGCATGTCGCACATACAGTTTGGACCTCGTAGGCTGCCCAGCCTTGCTCAAATGCAACTGATGAATTTCCTTCTGTCTGCAAGGTGAGCCAGTGATATGCGACGCTGCCATTGATGCTCAGGGAAGCTACGGTTTCAAACCCCTTGGGCCACTCATAGTTCAACAGAATTCAGAATTAGCTTGCAATAGTATAGTACCTTTGTTTGTGCCCTAAGCGTCAGGGTTTGTAAAGGATCCATCGCGAAGCATAGTGTGAAGCGCGCGCACCGGGCAGTTTGTCTTGACGACCAGAAGAAGACTTCTTCAATTCGTTGAGCCATGGGCATTGTAAGAAGCTTGTGAACTGAATTGCTTTCGACGCGTTATGGCTGCTAACCTGGACAAAGCCCCAGCTCATCAGGTTCTGAGCCCAAGCTGCTACTGCTGCGCAAGAAAGAATTTTGCTAACTGGCGTGCAGCCGGCAACTGATTCTGTCTTTCGCCCAGCAATCCAAGCTGCAGAGATGAATTCTGGAAGTATGAGCAACTATGGGTCTGTAGAGCCAAGCAGTTGGAATGCGGGAACATTGCATTTGCCATACGGACCCCATGGAGTTCCAGAAACTCGTAAGGATAAACTTCCAAGGAGTTTTCCATGTTCGAGATTCAGCCTTCGCAGGTTGCTCCCGAATCTGCGAAGCAAGCACGGCTGTCACTGAGGAAGTTCTTTGGATTGCACAGCGCTCCACGCCAGATTTTTGCCTTGTGTTGCTGGGATAGGGGCAAAGGTGTTGGGATATTTGCAACGGACCCAGAAGTGTAACTTCTGATGGAACAGGTTTGGCTCTGTACCGCGACACGAGCCTTGCTCCAGAGGGGGCCATGTCGCATTCAAGATGGGCTATTGCTGTGTCTGGATCTCCGGTTCTTCGGCGTTCAAGAGGGCAGAGCTTTATCTCCCTAAGCACCGCGGAAGCCGTGCATTGAGCCATCCTTACAGACCTCCATAAATATGACCTGCAGAGCAGATTGATCAGTGACAGTACCCTGGTATCTGGAGGACACGCCATCTATGGATTAGGGCCAGCTGGTTGTCAGAGCACCTGCGCAGTGGGAACATCACACCGGAGCACCGTAGTGAGTTGGCTTAAGCTGGTTGCGGTTCTGCTGATGACATGTCTTTCTTTGCAGAGAGCAAGAGATCTTCTCATTCTTTTGGGTATGAGCATGGATCATGACCAGGGCGATGAGGATGATGAGCCGACACCAGCACAATCAGCAGACGCCGCTGCAGCAGACAGCACTCGGCTACCATATAATCCCCGAAAAGCCAAGGCGTTGGTTGCTCTCATGACATTACTTCAGGGTCGAGTCTCCACCGGGGTGGATATAGCCCCGATGTAGGAGGATGTAGCTCCATGAGTTTAGGCGATACCGGACATTGGTAACGACAGCTTGGTTGATGGTGGGTATACTTTGTTGTGTTTTGGGATGGAAGTCTCTGAAATGGACAGTGATGGTTACTTCGGAAGGAACCCGACGTTTAGCAAGACTGAGATTCCAAACCGCGGAGGAAATTGAAAGAGAGTTGCACCATTATCAACGGGCGGTAGTACAAGTTGATGAGCCGCCAAGACTGGATGAGCGGCGAGCACCAAGAACACCTTTTCCTACGTTGAGACTTGGACGCTCATCAAAAGCAACGGCTTCAACTGATGATTCTGCACCCGCAAGAGGCTCAACAGACAGAGCTGTTTGTGAAGCTTTGGATCCCAAGCATGTGCACCAGGCAGTTTGCCCTTGCGAGCACAAAAGACAACTTCTTCAAGTCGTTGAACCACAATTATTGCAGGAAGCTTGTGAGCTGCATTGCTTTGGACACGTTATGGCTGCTGACCTGGGTTGGGTAGTGAAGCCCCAGTTCAACAGCAACCGTTGATTTTTCGCATTTTTCAAGCGCTGCTTGAAGATTGCGAGAAGTGGAGAATTCGGGAGCTTGCGAAAGACAAGCATGGCTTGCACGTGGGGTTTCGCAGACAGTAGTAGGATTTTGCAATAGAGCTGCTGTTGCCGCCGAGGCTCTCAGCTCTCATACTGATGGACATGGTTCAGTTTTTGCATTGACATGGTTAAATTGGGGCAAACCATGGGGTTAGTTGAAGGAATCAGAATGACTCAAACCTCAAGAGCTGGAGTTGTATGTTTCCGTCCCCCCAAATTGTCAAGCTAGTTTGTACATAAGAGAACCACGTACACCGATAACATTCTTGCTGCTTTGACAAAGAAAACATACAACGACGTGTGTCTGCGTGTGTTTTTGCAGTTCCAAAAAGGCTTCCACGGTCTGACAGCAAATCCAGTCATTTATTTTGCGTCATTTTCTTTTGACTTGCAAAACAGGCCGTTGCCAACCATACGTGCTCGTTCGACAACAGGCTCATGCCGCAACCAACAATGAGGCCCCTGAAAGTGAAAAACCGGGTTGTAGAAGAGGCTCGCGGGCCCAAAAGAACCCCCAGCTTGCATGGTTGCGCCTTCAGCTCCTAGCTCATTGGTAGTGCGCCTTGTCCCCGCCGAAAGCTCCAAGATAGCTCGAAAAAGAAGCTCTTGACTGAAGCTGATCCCCAGGCGAAATATGTTCGCATCAACAGGGTGACACGCCCTGTGGCGATGCTCTTTCTCAGTGAGTTTTTTGATGTAGGCCCGAGGTTTCAAAGTACTGCAACGTGTGAATCCTCTTGAGTTTTGCGCTCTCAACTGCGACTTGGCCCTGGCATTTTATGGATTTTTGCCTTGTAACTTCATTGTTGATCCCTTTGTACTTGCCCTTTCCCAGACTTCGTTCGGATTGAAGCTACAGATTCAAAGCAACTCCCGATGCCAGCCTGGCAGGAGCCCAGACGCAGTGCTTCCAAAATTTTCAGTAGGTGGAACCAACCACACCTGTTGATGTCATTGCCGCATAGCTTGAACTTCTTTGGCAAGCTTCTGTGGGTGGCCGTGTTTGTGAAACTTGCATGCTTCATCAGAATTGATTGCCTCCCAGGCATTTGGTGGTTGGGCTTGAGTCAGACAGCAACCCGCGCAAGCCATCCAAGTCAGCAGGCCTTCCTCCACCGCCTGAAGCCCGGATGAATGACATGTGTACCAGTGAGCCTGGCAAATTGTAAGGCCCCCTCCGAAAATGCCCACGACCAGCACAATTCCCTCAGGCCGCGGCTCTTTGCAATGAGAGTTCAGAAGTTGCCCTGTTGCCCGGCGCAGGTCCCTTGGTTAATCTGTCAAAGGCTAAGATGAGTGCAATTCCAACAAATTGAAGTGTCTCCTTTCTCTTCCCAAGGTCCAGCTCTGCAGCGAATCCCTTGCCTATTTGGCCGAAGGTGCAAAAAAAGAACTGGGGTGAGTAATAAACCTCAGCCGCTCAGCCTTGCCTCAGGTCCCTGCGCCAGTGACGCCAGTGCTGTCTCCAGAGGCCACCACCCATAAATGGCATCTCAAGCATCGCTCATCCTCAGAGTCTAAAAAACTTGTGCGTCTCTTCACACTCACTTAATGCCCAGATGCCGCAGCATAGTTCCAGCTTCGAGTGTAGCATTTGGAAAAGGGGAGCTGCAGAATGCAAGCGTGAAGGCAACACATAAAGGGGTAAGGCAAATCCTGGGGTGTTGCAACCAGATGGGCTTGGAGAGTTCCAAAGGCCCGTCCAGGATTGGAACTCATCTTAGCGTGTTGGAACGCCTGCGCGGCTGCACGTACCTCCACATTAATGTGCCTAAAGGGCATGCTGCCAGGCGTGTTGGGCAGACCGCTTGACTTTCCATGATGGCATTCTGCGAGTCAACATGAGTGCGTAGCTCAGGGTTTCATCCCTGCATAATTGTTTACGGGGCCCCCTTAGAACTTTGAGGCTCGCTGCAGATGAACGATGCAGCCGTGGCCTGCTCTTTGCCCTGTGCATCCCTACGTTTTGAGCCAAGCTCACCCAGCCGTGCAGGCACGCTGGTGCCACTGGGCTCCGACACTTCTGCGCACGCTCTGCCGCTAATGCCTTGGGAGCCGTCCCGTAGGGATCTAGCAATTTCGACCTTGCACTGATGCCAGTAGAGTTCTAAGGTGCCGCAGGTGCGGCTCTCTCGGATGCTGTGATTGATTTCTCAGGCAATGCTCTGGAGGCCCAGACTCATGCCATCATGCCTCATCTTGTCATGTTGTCATGGCATGTGACCATGTGACGATGGCTCAGCCATCGTTCCCCCGAGCGTTTGGCTCGAGTGGGGCTGCAACGGGAACGTGCCCCCTCCTCGGCTCCCATGGATGGAGGGGATGATGGAGTTTTCGAGGTCGAAGACCTCCTGGATTTCAGGCCAATGCAGCAGATGTCTTTGCAATTTAGCGTTTGTGCCATGGGCTTTCAGATCACTCGCAGGCATGCTGATGGCAAGGACCTCTACCTGGTGAAGTGGAAGGGCTACAGCGAAACTTCCTGGGAGCCGGACGAAAACATTGGTTCCGAGCTTGCTGACTTGAAGCGAGCTGCCAGAGCCAAAACCGGCCATGAGGTCCGGGATGACAGGAAAAGAAAGAAAAAAGGAAACGATGAAAAGGTTGGCAAGAAAGAGAAGAAGAAGGATAAAAAGAAGCGGAAGAGAGGATCAAGCGACAGGAAGCGGAGCTCGGATTCGGACAAGAACGATGAGCCGCTTCCCATGGGGATGATGCCCCCACCTGGCATGCTGCCGCCGATGCCACCTGGAATGATGCCACCAGGAATGATGCCTCACGGCATGGCCTTTCCGCCACACCTCGGGCCCGAAGGTAAGGGGAAAGGTATGCCACCCATGCCTGGCAAGGGAATGCCCCCATTTGGTAAGGGCATGCCTCCACCCATGCATCCACCTCCTTTCGGGCATGGGCCATGTCCACCGCCGCCTGGACCGTGGTTTGATCCCAAGGGTTTTCCAATCCCAGGTAAGGGCATGGCACCTATGAAAGGCTTTCCTGGCAAAGGGCCAATTCCATTCCAAAGGCCAATGCCACCTGGATCCAGAGAAGCATCCGACATGCAGCGCTTTGCATCCGAGAAGAAGTACCGGCTGAGGGACTTTGCGCAGCGGGTGCGCGACTACCTCAACAAGCACTCGTCACAGGTTCCTGAAGAGAAGCAATCTAAAGCCAAGAATTTGGAGGAGGCCCATCCTGACTTGTGTGTTGTGTGTATGTGTTGCTTGTAGTCTTGAAATCCAGAGACCATTGGCTTCATCCTTGCCAGGCGCTTGGCTTGAAACTGCAGGGAAGTCAACTTCCGCTCTTCCTTCCCATAGAGCTTCTGTTGACGCATGCCCTGTGCCTGGTCTGGCTCATGGATGTGGACAGCACTGATGAGCAGTATGACTTGCTCCAACAAGTCACACGCCTTGCAAATCATAGTGGGGCACAGGCTAGACAGCTCTTTATTCAAATTCTGAAGGAGAGCTGCTGGGCACGGAGGCAGTCGCAACAGTCTGCGTCTGCACCTGAATCAGCCAAGCTCTTTGCAAGTCTGGAAAGGCCAAGTGGTCCGACACCTTTAGGACTCCCATCGCTACCTGGTCTGCCTGCAGATGCCCGCCCAGAGCATTGGCGAAACCTTATTGTACAGCTCTACAAAGATCATAACCCATCCAAGCTAGGAGACATTGAGGCGCTCATGGCCAAGTACAAAGGCCGGGAACGAACCTTATATCTTTGTATTTGCGAGAAGTACCGAGTGTCGCCCAACTTGGAGCCCAAGTCTGTGCCATCCGAGAAAGCCCCTGCGGGCGAAGACAAGAAAGTGAAGAAGTACCGGGAGCTCATCACAGAGATTTACAAGGAACACAACCCATCCAAGCTTACAGATTTGGATGGCTTGCTTCAGAAGTACAAGGGCAGGGAGGAGTTGGTCTACAAAGGCATTTGCGAGAAGTATCATGTGGAACCCAAGACGTCCAAGAAAGAGGAAGCCAAAACTACTTTCGAGAAGTACAAGCAGCTCATTGCCGAAATCTATGCTGAGCACAACAAGGAAAAACTGGGCGAGCTCGATGACTTGCTTGGAAAATACAAGGGCAAGGAGAAGACCCTCTACTTGGCCGTTTGTCATAAGTACAACATAGAGCCAAAGCTTCCGAGCAACAAGAAGAAGGAGAAAAAGACAGAAGTGGATGATGGCAAGGATCGCCCTCCTGAAGATGCCAAAAACACAGAAGAAGACGTCAAAGCCAGCACGGCAAATACCGAGCTGGTAAAGCTGGATGACTTCAACTTGCCTCCAGGATCCCATGAGGATTTGGCAAAGATGCTGAACCGATTGCTGGACATGGCCGTGCTGCACGGTGCGGGTTTTGATGAGAAAGAGGCCACTCGGGTCTGCGCTTGGCAGGAAGGTTGCCCGAATAGACAATTGCCCTGCACTTTGAGTTACCGGTTCGAGTTGCAGGGCCTGAGCTCAGCGCAAACAGAGAAGTTTACCGACAGGCTCTATGGTTCTGGGGGCAGCCGCTGGACCAAGCTCCTCAGCATTTGCCCTGGAACAGAAATCAAGGGCCCAAAAGACTCCTCGGACGCTTTGATAGTGACAGGAGATGGTGGAGGAGCTCAAGGCAGGAAGCCCTTTGACAACGCGGTAATCCACATTGCAGATTCCTTAGGAAGGGCTGTGCGCGAATGCATGGATGTCATGGACTCAGATGACGAAGGCGCCAGGGATCGCTGGTACCTTCCATGGAGCTCCGAGGAAAATGCATATATCTTGCTCGATGGAGAGAAACCACTCAAAAAGGAAGTGGGCGTGGAGTATCGGAGAGGCTGCTGGACACCCCGTCGCTATGTTGCCATGCATTGCCACTCCGCTCACCACAATTTATGCGGCCCAGATGTTCAAGGACGGCTGCCAGACTTCTGGCGCGAGCTCGCTGACAAGCTCTGGCTTGGCATTCTGACGCTGAATTGGGGCACGGACGTGCCACTGGACACCGTGGTGGTGATCCAGACGACAGGTGGCCATGAAGCTGCGGGTAGAAGTGTGGGCATGCCCCAAGGCTGCAAAGAAGCGGCACCTAGCGCATGCGTGATCGTAACAGCACCGACAGCCGAAGAACTCGAGACGGCAAACAAGAAGCTCGGACCCCTTCTGTCGAAGGTTCTGACAGGTATTCGTGCCAACGCTGCCTTTGCCATGCATGTCCTGTCAATGCCCCAGTTTCGCAGCATGGGTCGAGCGACGTGGTATCCTGGCATGGTACTCGCTGCTCGCCAGGGTTTTGAGAACAGGGAAGCTGCATCTTCAGACTCCGAAGCCGCTGATGAGGACTTGGACCCTGATGCGGACATACTATCAGATGCTGAACCTACCGATGCCTACCGACCGCTTCGACTTTCTCGCATGAAGGTTAGAGAAGCATATTTACAGGGCTTGCTGTGCCTGAATTGTGATGCTGCCGATCACAAACACCAAGAGTGCCCCTTTCGCAAGAAAGTGTGCTGGAATTGCCATGGCAACCACTGCGGCAATGATTGCCCGCTTCGCTGCAGATTCTGCAGAGATCGCCATGACTACCCTCTTGTGGAATGCGTGAAGAAGGTTTGCCGCCGTGTCAGTGACTGGAAAAAGTCTAAGCCGTTTCAGGAGCAGCGGACTGTTCTTGCGTTGTTGGAACAACTCATGATCAAGCTGGAGGGCTTTGCAGATATTGACCTGGCAAAGCACAACAAAGAGGTCCAAGACCTGGTGAAGCAGTTGAATGAGCAAACAACACTCTTCCCCGTTGAGATCCAGGATGTGGCGCTCTCCATCCTGGATATGAAGCCACCTACGAAGCAGCCGATGGAGCTGCCCATTCCGCCTCCCCCTTCCACGCCAGCACCGAAACCTTACGTAGCTCCAAAGCTTCCCAAGGATGCCCCACCACCTCTTCCCGAAAACAAGTATCCGTGGCAAGAGAAAATTTTCTTAGACACGCTCCTTTCCAAAGGCCTCTATGGCTCCAATGTTCTCAGTCGCGTGATTGGGAGGGGCGGCATGCACCATCGCAGAATGGAAAGCGAGAGTGGCGCACGCGTCTTCTTTCGCGGCCTCGGCGTGAGTGGCAGAGATATGGACCTTAGTGACCCCAGCGACTGTAGGCTGCACATTTCTGTGAAAGGTGAGGTGCCTCAACAGGGAAAATCCGTAAGACGGATCATCAAGGAGATCGTTGCTGAGCTGGATGCTGAGCTAACAGAGAGGTCAGAGAGGGGGGAGATTGGACCTGCGTTGGACAACCCTCGTATCCCCGATGCACATCCTTTCGGCTTCATGCTCAGCAGGGGAACAGGGCCGGAGAACGGAGAGCCCTTGAAGTTTCGTTTTCCAGAGGAGGACGGCCAAACCTTGAACGATATGCTGCTGTGGCTAAAGCAGGCCAAGCTTCCATTGGAGTTGGACTCAGACACGCAGTGGCGAACCACTCTGCAGGCGGGCAAACGGGCAAATCAGAACGTTCAAACCGATGTTCATGATGTTCAGAACGGCTCCCAAACTCCTATCTGCCAGGTGACTCCAGCAGAGCCCCCGCTGCCTGATGACGCTCCTGAGCAGGCTGAGGTTGTGGCCGCCAGCTTAGCGCAGCGTCTGCATTCGTTGGGCCCCTTTTGAGTCCTGATAGTGTTGCCTAGTGCTGCCATGCGGCCAAGGCAGCTGAGTTCGCGAAGATGATGCAGGACTGGAGTTATCCGAGCCCATATTGGTTTGAGGAGCATGACCTGCGACCAACTGGCCTGTGGTCGTCTCTGACAGCTGGGGAGGGCGATGGAAGCTCAATTGCCCTTCAACAGGGACAAGGCGTGAGGTTGAGCGCTGCGGCTGTTGAGCATTTCTCAACGGTTTTGGAGAAGACGCAGCTATCTTCGATGCCCAGGATCATCATCCTTGAAGTGCTTTCACGCCTACGGGGTGTGGTGAGGAGACAGGTCGAGGATGAGCAGCTCCTGTTCTATTTGCTCTACCCGTGGGCTTGGTTTTCCGATTCAATGGGCCGCGGCTTGAAGTTACCTTACGGCAAACAGAAGGTGCATGCCATGCTTGCAGAAATGGGACGCATGGGAGGCAAGCCAACGGAATCACAGGTGTCACCACCATTTCGAGGCTTCTTTGTGGAGTGGTTGCCCCTGAGAGCAGGCACATCACGCCCAGAAGCACCCTATGTTCCGATGGTGCCAGCACCTGCAGCTCCTGCAGCTGCACCACGTCAAACTCCAATCACTCCCGAACCCCCAAAAGTTGCACCACCGCTTCCGTCCAGTGCTCCAAGAGGCTTCTGCAAGTACTGGCTTCCGGAAACAGCCTTCAAGTCAAGACAAGATTTGCGGGAGCTCATTACCGGGCCTGGAGGGTCGCACTTTGCACACATTCTTCGAAAGTATCCTAATGTGGATTTGAGGATTGAAGGTCAGAATTCGCTGAGTGTGCCACCTGCTCACCGGCTACACGTCTCCATCAGCAGTGAGGATTCAGCGGCCTTCGACAGCGCTGCAGTTGATGTCTTGGATTTGGTGGAGACGGTTTGCGACATGATCGGGGAGGAGCTGCAGATGACCGAGGAGACCACATGCAAACCCCAATCGAAGTGTGCGTTTGTTCTTGGTAGCACCCTTTCGCTGCCATGCTGCATGATTTTGGAAACACCCAAGCTGTGCAGGAGCAGGTGGACACGATGATCTCTCAGGTCCGTGCAGAGAAGTACTTCGAGGCTCATGGGATTCGCACTCCGCTTCCGACAGCGCGCCCCACCACTGCCGCACCAGCAGAAGCAGAGTTCGAGTTTGTCGATGACGACATGGCACCTTGGCATGCAGTATGGTTCAGGGCATCTACAATCCTGAAGTAGCTTCCATGCTTTGGATGGGTGTGATTGCTGCCACGGTTCTGGCAGGAGCTCGATGACCAGGACGATGATGACGATGCAGATACTGAAGATGAAGATGCTAGAACCGAAGCATCTGACTGCATGTCAGATGTTACAGAAGCTGACGGCGAAGTTCCAAAGACCGTCTTCGATGACATTTGATGTCTGTAAGGATGTCCGTTCTGCCGGCACCCAGTGCCTCTTGCAGATGAGCACCTGACTAGCGGAAGTGTGCACGTGTGAGCATTGTGGCCCAGTGAAATGCGAAAAGAAAGGTGCGGGAGGAAGAGGTGAATCCAGTGCAAGCTTTTTTTTGCACATTTTTGATTCTTGTTGAGGATGGGGGAGCACGACAGCTCCTGGCTTTGCTGCAAAGCTGTGACATCCACGCACATACCCTGAACTTGAATGCCAATCGGCTCACGGAAGCGTCCAGGACACAGACAAGTTGAAGGGGGTGTTTCTGCTTTTGAAATCAGAAAGCCAAGGTCCCTGGTTGCCATTTCGGATCTGATCTCCAAAGCACGCTTGCCGATCTGGGCTGCCGCTCGGTTTCATCTTGAGACAACAAAAACAGCAACGCAAAGACAGCAGCGAACAATGCACTTGGAGGTGCTGCTGGAGCACAACCGAGTACAGGCGCAGGGGCGCAGGCCTTTTGACAACATGCCGCAAACGCTTGCGTTTTGCTGAGGGTTCCTATGGCTTGATGAATTTGGCACGGGCGCTCAGAAACAATGCCATGCGCTAAGCAGATACGTTTTTTGTCGGAGCACAAGAGGCGCAGTCGCAGGCAGGTTCGACACGCGTGGCAGCTCGGGCAAAGGTACACTACCCCGTTTTCGACAAGGAAGCAAAGCGTTTTACCCCTTTGATGCTTCATTTAGCTGCGGCCTCAGTGCGCCACACGATGGAGGAGAAGTTGGCGTCACTGCAGGCTGGCAACATGATCGAGCGCCCGATGCAAGTGACACAACTAGTGAAGGAAGCCTTCGACCACCGTTTCCCATCCACGTCTGAGGCTGTGAAGATCTACGACCTTCGGTGCTTTTTGGTGCTAGTTATGCTGGCAGGAGCGGCAATATTGGGAAGCGAAGCAGCAGTGTCCACCCTTGCAGCTGCCAGTGCCCCATACACAGCTGCCATTCCATATAGCTGCCCTTCGTTTGTCAAGGCCCGGCTTTGAGAAGCAAGAGATCTCCATGTGGCAGTGAGGGGAACTGCTGTACAGAAAAAATGCGCCTGTGCATGTCGAAAGTTCTGTGCACACCGACTCGGTTAGGAGCCCACACCCATATTCAAGGAAGCAATAGAACAAGTGAGGCACCAAAGCCAGCCCAGGCAAGCCGGTAAGTTAGTTAACTTCCCTCCCCCGCCCCGACAGCAGAAAAAAACACACGGAGAAGGGACAAGCCCTATTTCGAACTGCCGAAAACCCTACGTTTCAGTGGCCTGTTAGTCACTCATAGGGCTAGAAACTTATCCTGTCTAATGAAGTAGAATAGCAGGGAACAGCACTGGACATGTCTGAACCGCACTGAACATGTTTGGCAAAATCATGAGTGAACATGTCTGAGCCACATGGCACTGAACATGTACCCAACAACTGCTGATATGTCTGTAGCGCGCTGAGATTGAAAATCTTTGCACCGAAGCGGCAATCAGAGTTGCGAGCTCTGGCACCATGTTGGCTGTATGGAATAGCATAGTGTTACCACACGTCCGAACAAGGGGATGAGCACTAGATGGTAATCCAGAGTACAAACCAATGCACAGCAACAAGAAATAAGAGCAGGTACACCGGGTTGATCAGACCCAGCTTCCACCATCACGCATAGCTTCGTCAGCATGCGTTTGCCTGATGGCCGGCCGCATGCCCCCCTGCCATGTATGTGAACCCTTGGAATTGGCAAACAGGGCGTGCACGCACGAATAAAGATTGTATCGATTGGCTTCCCGCTTCGAAAATCTCAAGGGGGGGGGGGGCATGCTGGTACACATATTTTGCGAACGTCCTAGACATGAGCCTGACATGGTCCTGATCTAGCCTGTCATGTTCTATTGCAAAGCATTAACATGTCGTCAGCTCAAACTGTCATGAATCCACATGTGCCCACATGAACCGTCATGAATCCACATGCAACACTTGCAGCGATCATTGTCCTTCAAACGACTGGCAATCACTCCACAAGAAAACCAGCTTCGGAACACTTCACGCTGTACATTGCTTTACGCTTGCGTAATTAATGACAATTTGCTGAGCACCAAGCTAAGAAGCACAAGTGCGTGCGGGTTCCATGCTTTGTATGTCCGCTGCCATTTTGGTTTTAGTTGGTGCACCTGCAAATGCAACACCTTGTTCAACTTTTCAGCTCTGCTGCCGTAGTCCTCTGTGGACTTTCTGTCGCACCGACGACTGCAGATGCTGTTGATCGACAGCAGGCGCACCAAATTTTGGAGCTCGGTGATACTTCGCCATGCGCACTCTTTCCATCAGGAGGTACACCTGCTGGCTTTGAACGATTTGTTCATCGCCATACAACAACGCCTTCGAGGCGAGTTTTTGTCTGGTTTCCTCAAAGAAGCAGAGAACATCATCACCAGGTCACCAGTTGATTGTTAGAGATTAACGTTGAGTTCTGTGCCTCCAGGTTTCTTCGAGACCTCAACCGTCGGGATGTGGGGCTGGCCACCTTCAGGAAGCGAGTCAGGGTCGATAGGCGTCGCCCGTTATCACCCCAGAGATGGTCAGCCTCCTAAAGAGAAAATTAAGGTTGGACTGGGAGTCGTGACCCAACTCGCTCATGACTACCTCGATTACTGTGGTGCCTCTTATTCTTCCGAATCCCTTCAAGGCAGCCAAAACTATGCCCAGGCAGCAATCACAATCGCACGTACATCCAAGGTGAGGAGACTGCGAGATCCGCCTACTACCCCTGGAAGATGGTACAGGCCTTTGCACGTCATTGGCGAGACCAACAAGTTCCTGTCCGTCACCTTCGAGTTTTGGAGTCAGCTTACAATGTGGCGGACCACAGCCCTGACGATGGCGAGACGATGGTCCTGGAGAATGACGATCTACAGTTTGAGGGAGGCTCATGTGTCCAATGGGGTGAATGACTTACAGCCCCATGAGAATCCTGAACATGACCTGATGGGCCTGGCTGAACATGTCTCCGTTGGAAGCTTCTTTCGAGGTGCTCTGGCCCACAAGGATTTCTCATGGAACACTCTTTCTCGTCTTCTGTGTCAACTACAAGAAGGGATGAAGCAGCAGCAGGGACCGCCACGTTTGGATCTGCGTATCAGTGTTCACTGGTACTTGGCAGTTCTGCTCATGGCGGCCTCTCTGGTGTCACGAAGAACTCCAACAAGTACAAGGAGGTCACCAAGCACATCAATGCATACCTGACCTTTCACCTCGGATGGATACACCTGGTCAAGTTTGATGATTGGGTTCAACATTCCAGCCGTCATCCATAAGGACAACCACAATCTCAAAGGATCCCTCAACGTGATCCATGGGGCTGGAGAGTATTATGGAGGAGGACTATGGCTGCAAGGAGATTCCCAGCTGGACAAACTCCTGTTCGACGAAGACTACCCAGTGGATGCTACGCCTCTGGATATCTTCTTCCAACAAAGAACCAGTTTGTGGAGTATGTCTCCCATGCGTCTGAGAAATGGTCTGGCAACCGAATGATTGTTTCAGCCCACACTACCAGGATGACATCCGACCTCACAGATCAAGATCGTGATCAACTTCGTGAGCTTCTTTTTCCACTACCTGTTCGTGATCTGATGGCCCAGACCTCCGAAGAACAGCTCGTTAGTGGGAAGCCAAAATCGCCAAGTTCCACAAGGCAGCTGGACATCCGACAAACCGCAATTTGGCAAGAATTGTGAAAGATGGCGGCCATGACTCCTGGAAGATCCAGATTGCTCTGAATCACAAGTGTCCAGCCTGCGAAAGTATTCTGCTCGGAGGAACAAGTTCTGGCCAGATTCCGAGGTGAAGCTGAAGTTCCTCCTGTTCACCAATTGGGCGACCAAACTCCGTGTGGTTCATGTTCTCCAGCTCTACCCCATCCTGGAAATGCGTACCGAATCAGCTGATGATGTGATCCGATCATTCAGTGAGCGATGGCTTGGAATGGAACCTTTCCAAAGCCACAGGTTGTCGTTTTGGATGCTGCCAACACGATCACGTCCGACAAGTTCCACGAGTTCCTCTCCTCACTGAACATCCTCCCCCACGTAGTTGCTTACAAGGAACCATGGGCGCATGGCACAGCCGAGGCTGCAGTACAGGATGTGAAGCACACAGCCACTGCCATACACCTCGAGAGTCGGGATCAGGATCCATGGATCTCTCTTCAGCAGTCAGCACGCTCAACTCGACCGAGTACACCGCAGGATACTCCTCACCCCAGTGGGCGTTTGGACAACAGTACTCCGTCTCTGATGAGGATGTACGCACGTTCAACAACCTCCCGGCAAACCCCCAGATGGACTTTGCTCGCTTGGAACAACATGCTGAAGAGGTAGCTCGAAGAACCAAAGCACAACGAGTCCTCTCCAAGCTGGCCAACACCACAGTGCGCCAGCCACTCAGACAGTTCCATGATATGGGTCTTGTCAAGGTTTGGAGACAGCTTTGGCCGATGTACATCAAGGTCCTCGAGGTGGCCTCAAGAAATCTGGACATCCCCATTGGGTGGGTCCGGGCAGAGTGATTTTTCATGAAGTGTTGCCCCATCAAGATCCTGAAGATCACCGTCGACACCTGGTCTGGGTCCTTATTGGGACACAGCTGTACCGGTGTTCGGTACATTCGGTTCGGCCGGTGACAGAGACCGCGCGCTTTGTGTACGGAAGACTCTCGCGGATGATCTACCACGACGAGAGTACGTGGACGTCGTTCCCGAAGAGCCCGACGAGAACGAGGTGGAGATCCCGGACCTCAAGCCCCTGGCAAGAGCACGATCCAGATTCCTTCTCGAAGGGTTACCTCGAAGACTCCATCATCGGCACTCACCTCGACCCGACCTCAGAAATCTCCGATGAAGATCGAGGACGGGGAGGACAACCCCGAAAATGCTACCTCCACGGCTACCTCATCTACGACAGCACGACCCGGACGATCAGGTGAACTGGGTCGAGCAGTTGTATGCAGACGCAGAGCACGAGAAACAGGAGTTCGACCTCTACACGGCGATGGATGAGACCAACGAGTTCCTACGGATCGAGTTCAACCTGGCGCACTCAGCTCCAACCGGCATACTTGATCAAGAAGATCAGAGACTCCGAGGTCAGTATAGCGAAGCTACCTGCTCATGAACGACCCTTGTTTGGACGAGCCAAGGCCAAAGAAGTGGACTCATTCATCAAGAACGAGGCCGTTCGCAAATGTTTGAATGACAAGGAAGTTGCTGACGCGTATGATTCCACGCGAATCGTCAAAGCTCGCTGGGTGTTGACCTGGAAATTGGTACCTCCAGAAGACAAGGCCGAGGCTATCCGCAAGGGAACCCCGAGACTGTCCATACCAGGGCAGGCGACAAGGAGGCCAAGGCAAGGATAGTCCTGTTGGGTTTCAACATCCCAACTTGCTCGACAAAGGGTTCAAGACAGCTTCGCCAGTGCAGTCCAGTCTTGGCCGCAACTTGTTGTACGTGATGTCCGCATAACGACAGTGGGAGATTGAAGGTTTGGATCTCGCCATGGCCTTCCTCCAGACAATGCCAACTGAAGCAGATGCTCAGCTTTGGACAACCGGAGTTGAAGAGCTCCGACAAGCCTTGGACGTGGGTCCTGAAGGCATCCTTCGCATCCTCCGCAACATTTATGGATCTACACCCCTTCAAGCACGCTACGCCTATGTGTAGGTAGCTTTCCTTGTGTCAGAGAATTTTCAATCTCTTTTGTAAATTTGTGGCTGCGTTTCCGTAGCCACGGTCAATTCTTCAAGCAATCTCATCCAACCAGTCACGTGGACTTGCTCTACAGCAAGATGGCGTCTCTGGACACTGTGCCCTTGAACCCTGCTCTCAATGGTTTCAACTTTCAACATGCCCTATATGTCGGGGGTGAACCTGACTACTCAGAGCACATAGTGCGTTGTGTGTGGTTTCGCGGCATGGGTGGCCAACACAGCGAGAGGGAGGTTATTAT